TATAACAAAAATGAGTAAAAAATTTTTGAATAAAAAAGATCAAAGTTATTATAGTAATTAATAAATATTTAAATTAACTACTTATTTAATATTAAGAATTAATTAATTTGTAACCGTAGGTTACATATAAATTTCGTAACCGTAAATAATATTATATAGATGATCGACATCATGCAAAATCGATAATAGCAAAGTATATAGTAGTATATATATGTATGACGTCGATGATGTAATCAGTAATGTACATATATATAAAAAGAAAATAAACTTGTATCTAGTTCTTTTTACTACAACAAATAAAAATAACAATAGAATAAAATCGTAGACATATACCTTTCCCAAAAAATCTTAATAGTTCAATCAAAGTTCAACAAATTGTGATAGTAATACTTAAAGTATAAATACCTCAACCAAAAACGCATCGCAAAAATCTAAGGAATTCATATAGTTGTAATATATTAGCTTTATCACATTTATAGTTGTTTATAAGTATTCAAAAAGAAAATTGTAAGTTGAACGATTTTTGATAAAGAATGTGCTCTACTAAAAGATTAACTATTACTAAATACCTCTTACCATATTTTTAGCCTATGTTGAGTAACAAGAAAGTAGCAGCTTCCGATTCACAAGTTCCTTTTATATATTCCATACAACAAAGTTCATAGCTTATGCTGAGTAATGAGATATTACCTACTTTTAGTTCACAAGTTCCTTCCGTATATCCAATACAACAAAATTTACAGTATACATTGGGTTATCCTAATGAAAAAAGTTTACAGCCTATGTTGAGTGATGAAGCACTACCAATTTTTGGTTCACAAGCTCTTTCCATATATTCTAATGAACATAGTTTACCGAATGATGAGATATTACCAGCTTTTGATTCACAAGTTCTTTCTATATACTCTATTGAACAAAGTTCACAACCTATGTTAAGTGATGAAATATTATTGGCTTCTAGTTCACAAGTTTCTTCTATATACTCTATACAACAAGAATGTGCATCACCTGGATCTAATATGTCGAACACCAATGATATAGACAATGGATCTGTTAATTATGATATATCTGATTTAAATGAACAACAAAATGTTGAATTTGAAAATTAAAAAAAACTTGAAATTGTCCCTGGCTTAGTATTTCAAAATTGGGAACAGCTTGATCATTATATTAGAATATATGCAAAACAAAATGGTTTTGTGTCAATTATTATTTGTTCTGAGTCTGATGAAATCACTTATAGAAGATGTCAATATGCTTGTGAACACCAAGGCGTAAGCTATTCAAAGAAGACAGTTATCCTAGAAAATCAAAAACAATCTCACACAAAATGGTTAGGCTGCAAATGGGTGGTTAATGCAACTTGTCTGAAAACAACTAAAAAAATTAAAATTACTTCCTGTAACCTTGAGCATTTCAATCATGAAATCCATTCTGATACTATTAATTTTGCTTCCTACTATTGACAATTTCCTGATGAAGTAAAACAAGAAATTAAGTATTATACTTCAAAAGGGTTAAATATGCAAACTCAGCTTTCCTTACTTGAAGACAAATATCCTGAGGTTCTTTTTTTGCCAAAAGACTTGTCAACTACAATACAGTCTTTCAAAAAGCATAACAAAGTTGTTAATGAAGCATCTGCTCTTCTAGAAACACTTCTTAATAACAAACTATAAGACCCAAGTTGGGTTGTTCATTGGCAATTAGATCCTATGTCTAATTCATTAGAATTACTTTTCTGGATAGAACCTAGTCAAGTTGAAATATGGATTCATTATCACAATATTATTATAAATGACAACACATATAGTACAAATTGTTTTAATATAGCACTTAGTCTCTTTGTGTGTATAGATAATTATAATAGAAGCTGCCTTGTTGCCCAAGCATTTATGAATGACGAGACTACTACAAGCTTTGAATGGGTTCTTTCTAAGCTTTTGGAATCTACTGGCTGTCAACCACATGTTCTTGTTACTGATTTTGATCTTGTGAATGAAGCTGCCATTGAAAATATAATGCCTGAAACCTATCGAATGAATTGTATATATCACATTAGTCAGAATCTCCCCAAAAATCTAAAAAGTAAACTTGGATCAAATTGGAATGGGTTTATAAAAGACTGGTACAAAATGCATAATAGTTTGTCAAAACAAGATTTTGAATCTGAATAGAGATTGCTTATTAACAGATATCCAACAACAAAACCTTACCTTGAACGAGCACTTTATAGTACAAAAGAGTGATGGGCATTAGCTTAGATTTCAGATAGATTTACTGCTAGAGTTCAGTCTACACAAAGAGTAGAAGGAATAAATGTAATTATTAAATCTGGTATAACAAGTAAAACGAGTTTATCCAAACTTGTTAAAGTTTTAGATTCTCAACTTGCTTGGAAATCAATATATATTTGATATAATAATTGGTCTTTGGCTCATGTTAAACCTACTAATATAACTACATCAGCTCAATTATTGCCTGAAGTTGACAAATGGCTTGCAGAATTTTTAACACTACCCGTTTTATCTTTACAGAGAACTGAAATAGCAGAAGCTCTTTGGTACAGTGCACTATTAGTTTCTAAAGAAAGTATTAATATTAGTTTGTTATAAGAAAAAAGCGAGATTGATTTTTATAAAAATCTTGACGATTTTCCAGCAACAAATGTTAATGAAATTATTTCAAGTCTATCTACTTTTTCTATTCAAGAAATTTGGGAGATTACTCATTACTAGGCATCTCATAAAAATTATGTTATTATACTCAACAATGGCAACCATATTTGTACATGCCTGAGACTTATTAATTAGGGTCTTTTTTGTCGTCATTTTGCAAAAGTTATGACAGTTTCACAAATTGCAGCATTTCATATTCTTATGATTTTACAATGTTGGTATTCAGATGAACATTATTCAAAATTAGACGAGTCATTAATATCTCAACTATCAATTACTTATCAAAATGGAAGTGCTACTTCAACTTCAAACTTCATATCTGATTTTACTTTTATATAAACGGGTTTTGATTTTTCTTTTAATATATTAAAAACACTTAACAATCATCGTGCATATGGAGTTACGAATGGTCTCTGTAAAAAAGCTATGGCTGTTGGATTGGATGCTGGCTTTGTAGCAATGGAATCACTTAATAAGTTTCTAGAAAATTTTATTCAACAATATTCTGTGAATTCTAATCAACACTTGGTTACTAATACTGCTTTAAGTGAAATTCAAGATAATAAATTAAGTGATTTAGATAATCAAAAAAATGGTCCACAATTTGATGTATCTACTATACAAGATTCGGTGATTAGAAAAAGAAAAGGAGCACCAAGAGTTAAGCGTATTAAAAGTTCTCTTAAAACAAAAAATATTCAATCAAATACCAAGAAAGAGAAAGCCACATGTTTTTGTTCTCGCTGTAAGCAGCCTAATCATTATGCTAAAACTTGCACCATAGATCTTTAGCATATATATAAGGTCAGTAAATATATATCGATATAGAGTTAGAATAGCTAATCGATAGTTAATTGTATTAATAATTCAAGTGTTATTTTACTAACTAATCAGTACTTAGCTTTAAAGTTCTTAGTTTTTGTGTTGTGTACTATCGCTATATATTAACCAAATTTAGTTT